CACCTGTGAGGCCACACAATGTGCAGTGGCCTTTGCGGATCATCAATTCCACCCAAAATGTCCCGGGGATTAAAAGCCGCATTTTGTATCTTTTCCTGATGATGAGAACTTGAATTATCTGATGAGTCGCATGTTCTCCAGTCTGACTCCTGTGTTAATGAGCTACCCAGGTTTTCTTGTGGCGCTGCATTGCAAGGTCCAGACTCTGAATTAGAATTCTTCAATAAATTCTCAGAACCTTTCTGCTCCTGTTGGAAAGGAAGGGCCAGAGATGGAGCAGTGCCACCATTTCCTTTAAGGCTGAGAATCTTCTGTAAATGGGTTGGTTTGTGCTTGGGCATGAATCTGTTATGAAAAGGAAATGCAATACACTTTTAGTGAAAATACGATTTATTTATTTTTAAAAATTTTTTTAGCATACTTATTTTATTTTATTTTTTTTTACATTTTTAAAAATTTTATTATGTTCTGTTAATCACCATACTTACATCATTAGTTTTTGATGTAGTGTTCCATGATTCATTGTTTGTGTATAACACCTAGTGCTCCATTTAGTACATGCCCTCTTTAATACCCACCACCAGGCTAACCCATCCCCCCACCCCCCTCCCCTCTAGAACCTTCAGTTTGTTTCTCAGAGTCCATAGTCTCTCATGGTTCGTCTCCCCCGTGATTTAAAACTTGTCCTTTACCTTTCTGTAAGGACACAATGATAATGTAGAAAACTGATAAAAATAAACCAAACATATAACAAACATTCTAGAAAAAGTACAAAAAGTAATAGCCATCCAGAGAAAGTTCAAAACTTTGAAATTAGACCACATGTTCTTTGAGTGGTTTTCAAAGTGTTTCTGCGGCTATAAAACCTACACTTCACAATCTGTGAAAAATAAGAATAGAGAGATGATTTATCACTCTCCTTTCACTCATCTTGCCAGAGTTCCATTTTACATTTTCCAGTCACTGCATGGCCCAATGCATATTTCCAAGCCACACTTAATCATTTCCCAACAAAAATGCTTGAAACTTCCTTGATTAACACTGGCCATTTCTGCTCACATGACTGTTCTGTATACCTGGGCACCTGTACACACATTTTTATTAAATCGACCTTGAGAATATTTCTTGAAAGATATTTTTTCAATGTCATTTCTTCCCTGTCTTCCCACAATGCTTTGCCATACAGAGTTTGGTATCTGTTACTTATTGCTAGAAGCATCTAAATAAAATGAAATCAAGAAGCTCACCATCTCCTGGGGAGCAAACCAGTAGTGCTTAGAACAGACATGAACAACCAACTAACCTGTGGTGGAATGCAAAAAGAATGAACATTCCAACTTTTAAAACAGTACTAGACATTAATTGTGACTTGGGGATCAGTAAAGGCTTAAAGATGGTTTTAGTTGAGGGACTTTAAAGGCAGAGAAGGGGAAGTTCTAGACTGAGAGAATGTTGTGATCCAAGGAAAAGGCTGGGAAAGAACATAAACTCTTCAGCGAATAGCAAGCAATCCAAAGAGGCTGGGGCCAGGTCCCAAAATGTGAGGTCTAGAGAGGTAGACTGAGGCCAGACAACAAGTGCTTTCTCAGAGTCCCTGAGGCCCATCTTGAGACTTCACCCCTTCCCTGGATTGTTGAGTAAGTGAAGAAATGGAGACTATATGCATTTAAGATGTAGGTAAGGAAGAAGAACCATGGAAGGAGAGCAATAAGGAACATCTGGAAAAGTAAAAAGAGGATCTGAGAGAGTAGTATCACCCTATTGAAGTGAGTTAAGAGCCTCAAAAGAACGTCTAAGAAAGGAATCAAGAAACCTTAAAAATGCATAAAAAAGGGGGTGCTGAGCATTGTAGAGGTACCAGAGCACCAGATAAGATGAGCATTTGGATCACTTGCTATTCAAAGGGTAGATCCTGTGGAGAGTGCAGGCTGAAATCAGCCTGAGGGTTACAGTGCGCCCATCAAAGTGGGAGAGGCAGAGAAAGAGAGATTGAGAGGAGAATGGCGAAGCAAGGTCTGTTTTCCTTAATGGGGCACGCGTATATAGGGGTATTCACTTGGGTGTTTACTTGGGGACACTTGCTAGGGAAGGGAGCTGGCTCCTGAAGAAACAGAAAAGTCTTACAAGTCAGAAGCAGGAGGATAGCATAGCATGTAGGATTTTTGGAATGGGGGAAAGCAAGTAGGCCTTATAAAAGAGAACAGACCAAGCTTTCTTACGAAGCTGAAGGAAGAACAGACAAGTGAAGCTGGAAAAAAACAGTTTCAGGTGGCAGATGTGCAATCTACGGTGTGTCACCAAAGCATTAGATGAGGCCATTTATTTCACGCGAGGTGAGCAGAGGTGAAGGTAAGTATAAGAAGTGTTCTGAGGGACCAGAACAGGGGAGAGGGGCCGAGGACGTTCACTAGGTCTGAAGGCAAGGACTGATGGGCAACACTAAGGGATACGGCGGGTTCTGCTGTGAGCTGGAAACAAAGTCCTTGGCTGAAGTGTGCTGTGTACGTTACAGAATCATAAAGCTTGTTTGGGGGGCCTCTGTGCTTGTCTCATAAAGCCCTTTGAGAGAAATCACCTTCTATATAAGCACCCTCCCAAGTAATAAATACATGATTGTATAGAGATAGATAAAACACAAAAATGGTACTAACTACTTTCGTATACCCTAATACAATAATACATTAATTCTTGATTTTAAAAATAAAGAAACTTGGGCATATGCAGATTATAGTTTCATATCTCACTGGTCTAAATTATCATGCGAACTAACCAACTTTCTTCCTGAAACAAATTCAAAACACTGAGGAGATTCTAAGGAACTAAAAAAAAAAAAAAAAAAAAAAAAAACAATGAAAAAGTTCCCATTGATCACCACAAAAGTAAAAAAAAAAACCAAAAACCAAAACAAAAAAAGCCAACAAAACATGACAATATCGTAACTTTTTTTTAAAGATTTTATTTTTAAGTAATCTCTACACCTAAAGTGGGGCTCAAACTCACAACCCCAAGATCAAGAGTCGCATGCTCCATTGACTGAGCCAGCCAGGCATCCCAACAATATCTTAAATTTTAAATAAGTGAAACAAATAGTAAGAGAAGGAACATCTGTACATATCTGGAAAACAACAATAAAGCAAGTGAAGAAACCTATTTGTTTATGCTGGATAAAGGATGCTAGGCAAGCTTAAAAAGGATTTTAACAAAAATTACAAATTTAGTGCAGGAAGGATTGACAATTAAAAAAAAATCAGCGGGCATTGAAACAACATAACTTTATCTTAGAAAACAGTATCATGACCCATCTTACTCTTAAAATCCATTTATATTGGCTAACATGTGAGCAAAATTGCAAATTAAAAGGGATGGGAGACTGGCTAAAGGGTTGTAAACAATAGGAATTGGTAAGTGACAGGGCATTTCGCTGTGGGCAAGGTGCTAGCTGCTTCTAAATGTTGGCAAGGATGAACAGGATCCCTGTTAACACAGGTTGTGGATGGCTGACTTAATCGGTGGTGGTCAGTGGGGACATGGAAAGAGGCAGAACATAGGTAGACAGTAAACAAAAACTCAGCTTACTAATGTTATGAAATTGAAAAAAAAAAGTCCTGAATGCAAGTAGGACACATGGAAAACACTGCTGAGATTGTCTGGAGGTTGACCAGAGAAGCGCGTGCTGAGCTGACCAGCAAACTGATGCCACTTTGTCATGGAGTGTGTTGGAAAGAGAAGGAAGACACCAAGTCTGTGGGGACAGAGGGCCGTGCAAATGCTGGTTTCATCCGGGGCACCTGTAACTGTATATGTCTGAAAATCAGAGAGTTCTTAGAAGAGCAATAATAATGACCAAGGCAATGGAAGAACTGATTTATGAGGACAGATTAAAGGAGCTAAGTATGAATAGCCTGGCTAAGTGACAAGTAGAGGGGGACATAATAGGAGTCTCCAAGGAAAGAGAATAATTATTTAGCCGGGTACAAGGGGGTATAACTACAAGTAATGAGATGAAATTAAGAATGGGAAAATTTAAGCTGAATTTCAAGAAAAACTCCCTGATGGTATAATTTATTAGCTCATGGAATAAATTCCCTATGGAAATGCTATAGTGAGGGAAACTTAATAGGACTGGACAAAATACCAATAAATAATATAGATAATAATCCGGTATTTGAAAGAAGGTGGTTACATGCTATGCTTTCCTTGCTTAGAATATCTTCCCATATTTTTCTTTAATAATCTGTTAATATATAGTGATTGTTACCTAGATAAGTATTCAGGCAGTTAGCTAAATCACAAAGGAAATATGTCCTTTAGGTGGGGTTAAATTAAAATCACTTTACTCTTTATATACTCTGCAGTAGTAAGCTGAAATAGTTTTTTACTACTTTGTTCTAGCAGAGCTGGTTGTGAAGCAAGCTGGACAAATGCATTAATATTTCTAAAAAACAAAACAAAACAAAACAAAACAATCCTCATCTACCATCCCACACAGAGTCTATTCTGATTCTCTGTGCCATGAAACTCATATTTTCATAGACATGTTTAATATAAACAATTTATTGCCATAATAGAAATCAAAAAACTTTATTCCAGCTTTTCTAAATGTAGCTCTATGGTCAATTACTTCACATCAATACCAAGATCAAATAGGCATAATACTAACAAGCAGTTTGCTTAATAATAGTCACCACACTAATTAACCCATCCAGAACATTCTTAATCAGAAGCTATTTGTAATGTACAGTTAAGAGAAGCTTGGCAATAAATGGTTCCATGCTAAAAAAGAAAATAATACCTTAACTGATGGGGTGAAACTGGCTTTTCTATAGAACTGGACAGAATGTGCCGTCCTGGCATTAGCTCAAGAGAGTGAGTATGCAAATAGGCACATGTCTGAACACTGCCTTTCTCTTCCTGAGCTCCAACTCTGGTGGAGGTGTTAATGAGAAGAGAAAAGGTCCTGAGATAAGGAGTGAAAGAAAGAAAAGAGTCAGAAGAAAACCAGTGAGCTGCCTTGTAGAGCTTAAGCCAGATTTGCCTTTTAATAACCCCCCAATTTTTCTTAAAGCAATGCTACTGTCCACCTAACTCACAGAACCTCTTTCCCTCTGAGTCTCTCAGCTCTATCAGAACCTGTTTTTACTTTTAAAAATATTCTGATTACTGTAATCATTTGCAATCTGTTATTAGCCATGGGGCCCTCCCCCTACTTTTTCCCCAACCAATCGCCAAGCTGAGAAACAGAAGTAGAGCCTCTCTTGCACTTCCTCTCCTCACAAAGGTCCTTCTTTCCTCACCACGTCTGTCCTCCAACATGGTTCCAGAGGCCCTGCCACAAAATCCCAGTA